ATGTTTATTCAGAGAAAGTACGTTTTTGTGTCTGATTTCGTAACTTAATTAATAGTTAGCACTAATTAATTAGCATATTTGAGGTCACCCCCAGGAACCATTAAGATTGACACTTAGTTCGTGAAAATCGGATCATTAGAAAGTTATTCAGGGTGATATCTTTTTTTTTTGCGGACTGTACAGAGGACTCCAACCGCTTCCTAATTTTTGTAAGTTCTAAAAGCTCCATTTTTAAAGAAAATTCACATACCCGACTGGTCCCACCATGAGGCGTTTGCAATATTTAGACTTTTCAATTAAAATAACTGTCTGACTGAGCATTTTTTTTTTAAAAGTGGTGACTTTCTGAACTCTACTATTAGCTGCCATCACATCATTACGGATAACTATATTTTTTCAAAGGGACGTGGAACTATCTTGGCCGAGTGGCACTGGCAGGAGAGAGGTTGAATGAGACGAGAACTTTTTTATTCATTTTATTGTTCCTTGTTCTCTTTTTTACCTGTTACATTTGATTAAGTTTTCGGCCATTGGAAATAAATTATTTAAATCTTACTTTATTCTGCATAAAGAATTTGAATATTTATACCCAGTAAATCAAAAAGGAGAGTGCTTCTACTCTAAAGGACATCTAATTGAGCATGAGTCAAATCAGGTCCTCAAATGTTGTTAACAAACTTATTAAATTTTCAATATTTATTAATATAAAGACTACGTTTTGTTTTCAATTTATATTATCAAATGGACTTAACTCATTTTTCAACCAAAACGTTCTAATTGTATAAAGTAATAGAAAGAATCTCTTTCTCTCTCTCTCTCTCTCCCTCTCTTTCTCTCTCTCTCTATCTTGAAGTCGATAACTTGTAAGTGTAGCAAAAGTTGAAAAGGTACCAATACTCGACCGCTATTTAAATGCGGGACCTCTCGCTCTCGAAAGAACCATACCGCTAGACCATTAAGCCACTCTGATGTGTCTTTACTCATTTGAGTTAGTCTATTTATAGTTTAAACTCGTAAGCATGTTGGGTTAAAACAAATATTTTTTTTCTAAAATACGACTCATTTAGATCGTAGTAAAAGCAGTAACCTTTTGCATCAAATGCAAAATTCATACCCGTAGACTATTATATCCCTCTCACATCTCCATGATCAAAAACAAAAATGGGGTAAAAAATGTAAATGAAGCCTCCTTTCCCCCTAACACCCGCTGTTCAAATTTCAGTATCATAGCACAAAGAGTCATAAGAGTGACGCACTCAGACAGTGAGAAAGACTCACATACAAACTCATTTTTTTATTTTTTTATTATACATAGATTATGTATGGACTAGGAAGCTTCACTCCCTGCTCGCTCCACTCACTAACCCCTAAAGTGGCATCTCATTCATCTTTGTTTCTTTTCCCTCTAAAAACAGTTATCGAAAAAAAAATCAAAATCATTTTCCTTATAAAATATTTAATTATTTTAATTTCATGTAAAAAAAAATACTAATATGTTTATCATAACAAAATGAACGAATATTTGAAACTATTTTAATAGTGGATATTTCGCCTTTTGACACATGTATTAATAATTGCACTTAACTAAGCCATTTAAACATACTTAAGCTATTTATGAACTTCTGCACAATAATATTATGCAAGAAAAGTATCAAGTTGGTTATAATTGTCCTATTCCTTGCACAAAATAGAGATTCTTCGATAAAGGAGGAATTGAGGTTTTCAGAAAAGCACAAATTTTAAACCATCTTGCCCGCTTACTTCAAAAGAAAGATATTATAATTTCACAAAAGAGTATCTTCTGTGAAATAGCAACAGTAGTAAATAAAAAAAATATTAAAATATTGTTATGTTTTAGACCAAAATAATACTTACGTTATAAATGGCGTAAATGAAAGGATTGCAGCAAGAGTTACTCATAGCCAACCAATGAGCGCTAAACCAAATCACATTAATGTATTTGTACCTGGAAGATACATTTACAAATTAAGAACACTGAATATATAATCAAAGACTCAAATATACTGTCCGTACCTCGCTTTAAAATTCGAAGTAATAATATTTAAAAGTGAATATCAGTATTTAAAAAAGGAAAGTTTATATTTAAGGGAGGGAAAAGTCCTAGCTATTATCAAAATTTAATGAATAATTATCGATTCAAGTGTAAAGTTAAAAGATTGAAAAGCAGTTTGATCTCCAAATAAAATTGAAAGGAATTTTCAATTTTTGCTTTAAACTGCCTTTTGGACTCACAGACTATTAAACTGATTTGTATAATTTTAATGCACTACTAACTGTTATTGTTCCTGATAATTATTCGTCAAGGTTTGATAAAAGTTATGTTTTCTTTTATCGATTTCTAGTTCTTAGATTGACATTTTTTTTCAAAACAGTACCTTTTAAACTTTTTTTCCCCAAAGCGATAATTTGTAATAGATTAAAAGTAGTAATTTTGGCACACACTGCAAAAAATGGATACTCAAATATCACGAAAAATTTTTCGTTTTTGGCGAAAAGGTCTCCTGGTCATTGCTCCGAGTGAACTTTACTTGAATTGAAAAAGTTATCGTCACTTCTTCGAGGAAACAAATTTCGTCAAAAGCAAAGATGTATTTCGTAAATCTATTTTTCTTCAAAAAAAAAAAAGACATATTGTGTCTAATGCATTGAACTTTACTAATAATAACTTAATCGTAGGTTCCATATAGGTGGTACAACACAAAAAGAACAAATAGAAGAAAGAGATAAACTACAAGCATGCCCGATGCAAGATTCGAACTCCGGATCTTCCTGGTATCATCAAACGGGAGAGTTTTCCTTCTGAGAGTGCATTATGAATAATTGAAAGAACACGCTGTTGCGGAATTCTGTAAAATCATTTTTTTATCTACATTAGTTTATCAATTTATCTGAAAAGCTTAGTGTAGGGAATGGTGAACTATTGTATAATAAAAGTCAACTCATTTTTTTAACGCGAATGCTCATTTCTTTTTGTCTGCTATTTTAATTATGATATATTTATACTATATCTCTTAGTTTACGTATTGTCTTTTTGGGGGAGGAGGGGGGTTGCGACATCAAGCAAAAGACGCGCTATTTTAATGTTGCTTAAGCAATAATAATTGCAGAGTAAAATCAGTCGTTTGCTTTGAACACAATTGTTTAACACAAAATTTTGGACTCTCCAAATCAGCGGTTGCCAATTTTTTTTCCGTTTACAGAACCCTTAAATGTCGAGTTTCTTTCGGCAGTACCCAGAATTTTTAAAAACAAGCTTGATAACAGCTGCGAATATACCAAAAAAAAGAAGAAAAGAAAAACAAATTAATTTGAAAACATTTGCTCTGAAGAATGAAACTTATTAATTAATGAAACTTATAAAATTCATTAATTTATTAATTTACTATTTTATTAATTATTATCATCAATAAAAGCTTAAAATTAAGTTTTATCTTCGACAGTTAAATGCATAGGTCTACAGCGGCTTTTTATCGGGTAGTTTTTAGAGTATACGTAAGTCGAAGTGAATAAAATAAGCTAAATTATGTTGTGCTTTTTTTTAGAAAAGAAGAAAAATACTTCTTTTTTAATTAGAATTTGGTTATTTTATTTTGAATTTCAACGTTCGGTGAGAAATACTAGTGCATAATTTAGATAAGAAATAATTAAAGTTTATTACTTCTTTTTCATTGAATAATTTCAAAAAATAACCGAAATATCAAATAAATAATATCTTATTGGTTTGCCTTTTAAAAGTCTCAAAAATGTTTACTGGTATATAAAAAATTTCACGTGGAACCATTTCGATATTTCCATGGAACCATAGAGTTCCGCTGAACACCTTTTAGGAACTATTGCTACAGTCGCTTCGGGTGGAATGGGGGATAGATTAAAGATCATCCAGTCAATTACTGAAAGCTTCAATAAGTGTTTGCTCCGAGGTAGCTCAGGGGATAGAGTGCTCGCCTCCCAATGAGGTGATCCTGGTTCGAATCCCAATGGCGGCTGGTCGATTCGAATTCTGCACCCGGCTCGCACCAACAGTATTAACGTAAAATATTCTCAGTGGTAGATGGATTATGGGTTAGAGTTCCCTTGCCTTTAAGCTAACTGTGGGAGGTTTTCGTGGTTTTTCTCTCCATGTTACACAAATGCGGGTTAGTTCAATCAAAAAGTTCTCCACGAAGACAAATTTCTCCCAATACTTGATCCAGGAGGTTCCCTGTCTTCTGGATTGGGTCCAAAACTACAAGGTCATGCAGCTGACTAATGGTAGTCGTAAACTATTAATTGAGTCGACTGTTCAACGATGGTGATAAAATATAAAATAAGTATTTGCACCTCTCGCCCTCTGCAAAAGCCACACTTTAAAACCAATTAAATTTATTTATTAGTAAAAATATACTTTTATCATTATTTTATATTTTGTTAATTTATTTAATTTTAATTAAGTTATATTAAAAAATTGTTTGTCCAGGTTATTTTGCTGCATCCCGTTTATGAAGGTTATTAATAACATTTTTATTTAAATTAGGATACCTTATGAAAAATTCTTATTTTAGAACTGCACAAAATAAATATGACTTGCTAAGTATTTAAATTCCACACAGCAAACGAAGGAAAGTAGAGACATCCAAAAGGGTGAAAGTGGGAGAAGGTTCACTCGAGAACCAAACAGTGAACGACTAGTCTTAAAAAACCTGTTTTTTGCCAACAAATTAAAACGCTAAACTTGCTATAAAGTAAATATAACTTATTTAGCGTTTAATAATCAGAAAACAGTAACCAAATATTTTTATCATAAAGTAGGTATTATCGTTCGATGAATGTATAATATAGAAATAACATGACTTTATAATATAGGAAAAACACTACTTCTTTATTGAATAAACAACAATTTTGAATTTAAATCTTTTTATTTTGAATTATATTGATTATTTCCTTAGTGTAATTGTTGGTTTTTATTAATTGTTCTTATCATTTCTTATTATGTAGAATATATTGAAATATTATGAGTATAGAATATGTTATGTTTGTAGAATATATTATTTTCTTTAAAAAAAAAATTTCCTTATTTAAACACCGCATGTCTGGCTGCAATAGTTCTTAAAAAATCTGGCTGCAAGCGAATCTATCAAATGAAAACTCTACATCCAAGATTTTGTTTTATATCGCCTTGAAAAAAATATTTCATTCATAGATTAATTCAAACATACGCATCATTTTTATATTTAAAATAATGCACTGCACTGATACAAAGAAAAACTTAAATGAGTAATACATGTCATACATTATTTTTTGTTTCAAAATGGATGAATAACTCAAATTTCTTTCAACAGTTATTGAGATAAAAGAGAGTAAGACTGAATTTTATTTCACCAAGAATATTATTTTTTATGTAGCGAATTTTGCCAACAAGCTTTAGTTCTAGTGATTTTAAATGATATTTAAAGTTTGACAATTTAGATTTACTTTTTCTGGTGGGCGTATAATAAAGTTATAAAAACAACATATTTTGTTTAAAAGAAAAACTAATATTCTATTTGTCAAATATCTAGATATTAATACAAATATTAAAAGCCAAAAGTCACCGTTATTTTTCTTTTTTAAATCCACAACAATGATTAAACCAATGACTACTATAAAACACCATAGACTCATTTTGTTATAATTCAAATGAATTGATTCAAACAATTTTTTTTAAAAAGCCATCGAAGTTGATTCGTTTAAATCTTCACATTCAGATAAATTTGTATTATAATTAGTTTTATTATTCAATTTAAAAGTCAAAAACAGTTCTCTTAATATCCGATCAAAATTATTATTCAAATTCTTATAAGCTATATATCAATAAAATCAAGACAAGCAAGTCGATAGCTCTTTATAGAATTTAATTTCTTTTTTCCTACTTCTACATGGAATCCCACTTAGCATTTACTTATAATGATTATTTTTACTCAGAAAGAGAATAGAGAATTAAATATAATCTGAAGAATTAAGTAACAGAGGAGATATTAGGAAATACTTATAAAGATTAATAATAATATTGTTCTTTTCCGGTCGTTAAAATTAATGCTCTACCTATTGCTACATTATTATTTTAGTAGAGTGCGCATTATGTTACGAAAGTCCTTGGGCTATTTTTATCGGAATTTTCAATCAGCATGGCCGTGAATGGTATGGTTTGCAGAAAGCTATCTTCCCTCAAATGATTGCTAATAACCACCGAAGAAGAAGGCTATTTTCGATTATTTTCTGTATTGTTATTCGATTTTATCAGCTCATTTCCCTAGAATAAGAAGATAAGAAACTCGAGTTTTAACTCGATACATGGCAAAATTGGAATGTTTTCATCAAAACATAAACTTCTTTAACTAAGCATTTCGCAGAATTAGCTATGTCGATACAAATAAAGATTGCGATAAGTTATAGATTGTTCTAATTTAAATCATTTTAAGCGTTTACGTGATTGACAATCGCGTTTTCTTAATCATTTGAATGCAAATTTTTTTTAATCATTCATAATTTTGTTTTAGAATAAATTAAGTGATCATATGTAGCATTTATAATACTCGTCGTGTAAGGGTTGTTGAAAGGAGTGAATTGGCTATTTATTCTACTTCCAGATACTCGTAAGCGTTTATCGGATATTGACAAAGAACTTTTAACCTCCATTTGCTTGTTGTCAATTCTTTTTCTCAGTTTAGTACTTGAGGGAAAAAACTATGCTTATGTTATTTTGTGTCTTGTACATAGAGATAATCGTAACAAGAAATTGAATAAAATGATTTGAGTTAATAAACAATCACACGATAATATCAAACCATTAACCCAACATTATTTTGTTAATTTATCTTCTTTTATTCTTAGCAAAACACAAGAAGAGGTCCTTAATTTAGGATTAAATTTCGCTGCTACTTCTAAATTTTCAGTTCCCACTACTATTGCTCGTTTAGAATCAGCATT